AAAAAAAAAAAATAAAAAAAAAAAAAAAAAAAAAAAAAAAAAAAAAAAAAAAAAAAAAAAAAAAAAAAAAAAAAAAAGATTATCAGATTTTAATTACTATTAATATAATTGAAATAGAAACTAAATTTAATTCTTAATTAAAGATATTAGCTTAAAAAGTAGATGCTAGCTATATTTGTTAAATAAGTAGTCTGATTTGAGTAGCCAAGTTATTAATTATATTAGATTAGTTAGGTTAATTTAGTAGATTAGTTATTAAGATATATAGTACCAGATAGCAAAAAATATCTACTTTTTATATGTAAAATATAAAAATATTTATAACTTATAAACAAATAACTTTAAAAAAAATCTGTCTTACAAATTTGTTACTTTTAGTCTAAGTTATAATTCTATTAAAATAGATTTTATTTTTTATTATAAATTTAAAAAGTTATTAGAGTTTAAAGTTTATTTTTATTTTTTTTTGTTATTAAGATGGCTTATATTGCTAAAAGAATTTTATTAGAATTGTCAATAAGATTATATATTGATAATCTCTACTGTTTGTAATTACATAAAGAGTATACTACAAGCCACATGTACAACTTTAGTCATTATCTATTTTAAGTAGTCTATCATATAGATGTTAGGCTACCTAATTGGTTCTATACTATGCTACTATACCTGTAACCTATCTGTGAGTTACCTATTTAAACACTCTGTTCATTAATCTATACAGATCTAATCTAATATCACCACAATACCTAACTACTTAAGCTAACTAGCTCATTATAGATCTATTTATTTAGAATAGTTTAGATTCTCTCAGAATATATTATACTAAACATATTGCTAGTATCACAGAGCTAGTTAACCTCGAAGCAAATCTACTAGAGCAGTTCATATCTATTTTATAGATTTACCTAGCTTAGACCCTTGTAAATATTCATACAACCCCAAGCTCTACTGTGGTCCTCTACTGGTCAGTTGACCTAGTCCTTTTCTAGTATCTAGCCAGTTCCAGTTACTCTTCACCTGAAGACCTTAAAACCTTCTACCTTTATTAGACTAAGTTTTCTTCATGAATCAGACTTTAGCTAATATAGTCTTGTCAGAAGGCTGTACTACTTCACTGACTCAGGATTTCTACCATGCAGGTTCTCTGCCTATATATCCTATTAAAATTTATTCATGTAACATTTTGCTACACTTCCAAGTTCTGATCGATTTAGTATAACTCAATTTATAAGGGTACGCCCCCAGAAACAAACAAAGTTTACTGTAACATATCACAAGATCTGAGAAATTATTCAAATTCATCAACAGTAGGATTTGAACTCCAGACCTATTGCATAGCAGTCTAACAACCTAACCACTATACTAGGTCACCAGATCTGAGTTTAAAGTTTATATATAATTAAAAATTTAGTATTTAATATAAAAAATTGTTTTTGTAGATTTTTAACTAATTAAAATTTTTGTTATACAAAATTAACTAATTAGATTTGAGTATAACTTTTAAAATTTGATGCTTTTAAAAAAAAATTAGATATTTCATGCTATTCAGTACTATAGAATTATTATTTTAGAAAAGAATAGATTTCTCTTTAATTTTCTTTATTTTAGAATTTAATTTATTTACTAATCTTATAATTTTATCTAAATAAATATTTTGTATACTCTATACTAGAGGTTGGAACTGGTTTTAATAATTCGGGTTTATCACATGAATTTTGTGATATTTTAGAATTTATTAAAATTTAATTGGATAAATTTCTTAAATATCACAAAATTCATGTGATAAACCCGAATTATTAAAACCGGTTCCAACCTCTACTCTATACAATTAGTATAAATTGTAACTATTGTATTTAAAAAAGTGATTACAGATATAAAAAAAAATATAAAAATTAAAAGCTAATTTAATTCTAATAGCAATAGAGAAAAGAATTTATTAATTTTTATAAACATAAAGAAATATAATAGATCTGTTTATTGATATCAAGAAGTAAAAGTTATATATCTAATTTATCAATACAATTATTCAATCTTTTAATCTCTTAAAGAATTTTTCTTCTGATATGTCATATAATATTCTGAGTAATTAATTTAATCAGAATTTGAATCTTAATATTTCAATTCAAAATTATAAATCAATTCAATCTATTGAATTGAGTTTCAAATAGATTATTAAATTTAAAATCAAATTCAAAAAATACAAGTTATAATTTTAAAGTTTTTAGATAAATATAATATTATTTTATTTTTTTTATATTGAAAAGACATGCAGAATATGCTATTGCTTTATTAAATTTTTGTTGCTTATATATTTTATTTTTTTACAAGATGTTTATATTATATTTTTAATGAGTTCATTAGACTCTTGAGGATAATATTTTGATTTAGCATTCTAGTGACTTTTCTAATGCCTTTGCTATAGATTTCATGTATATGCTTGGATTTTAGCATATATGTGAATTATCTAATCAGTAACCAGTTAAGCTACTTAATCATAATACATTTCTTTTTAGTATAATTTTTGAATTTCCCTGTAAGAAAATAACATTTGAATATAAATGTATATAATAATATTTACAAATATAATAAAATAAGATAAAAAAAAATATATAAAAAAAATATATAATAAAATAAAATTAAATTATATTCATTACAATAACGATAACGATAAGCCTCACAGAATTACTAATATATACGTATATGTCGATTACCCATGTTATCATTTTACATGGCGTTATAAACAGTCTAGTCTTACTAATTTAATGCATGAAATGCAACGGTAATAACGATAACTTTTAGTTTTGATATTCCATAATGTATTACATAGCAGGCCTGAAGGGGTGATCTTCGGATCATTAAGCTTCGCTTCTGAATTTATGAACAAATGCATTTAAAAATTAAATCATATGATATAACTTTATTATTTTTTATAAGAATGAAAATAGGCTAGGATAAGCTAAGTAAAAACTTATAAAAGAGTAGTGTTACAAATCGAAAGTTAAAAAAAATCGATTAGTTGCTTAGTTGACAACTAATCGATTGAACTTTTTAGATACCAACTAATCAATTATCATAATTAATCTGCTAATTTTTTTTGCCAACCACATGTTAAAGAAGAATTTTCATGAAGCAAAAGAGGATAATATCATCATATAAAAGAACTAGTATTTAAAACTTAGTTAAATTTAGTTAAGTTATTGTAAAATAGTTATAAAAATAAATTTCACAACAAATAAATTTAAACTATGGATCAGAAAGAAACAATAGAAAAAAAAAACAGTAGAAGAGAACTATCAATTCTATTTAAAAAATTATTAGAATTGGATTTCCTAAAAATGAAAAGATTCATTCCCTCATAATTCTCTGTGAAACAAATGTATCGTGGATATAGATGACCTTAGTATATACCTACGGCCAAACCACGTGAAATCTTTAAAAAATAAAGCTATAAATAAATGTGACTTAAGTTCGTTTTTATTTGTTGACCAAAAGAATTCTGATTAGTTATAAAGATTAATTTATGCATCATATTGTATTATGTTAGTAATTTTGGGTTAAAAATTTGAATATAAATAATATGTAATAACTTTGTTTTAAAAACTTGGCATTGTCAGAATCACCCTAATAAAAGTTGGTGGAGATGATCTTTACAGCTCAAATGCAATTTAACTAACAAATTTCGCGAAAATCAACGTTTCTTTTGAAGAGCTACCCAATGATATACTTTATATTATAAAGCGACAAGCCAATTTATATAGGCCGGCAAGTATGATCATTGCTTGTAGTTTATGTTAATTGTCCGGAATTTCAAAATTCATAGTAGAGGAACCTATATTGACAGATCAATCTTAGCATATATTAAATAAAGCAAAAACTTTAAAATATAATCACCTTTTTCATATTTTACGCTAAGTTGTTCGCTTCTTTTTTTATAAAGTTGAGCAATCTTATGTGTGTTAATAAATTTACTTGTGTATGCGATATCAGGATATTCTGGCAAAGTTCTTGAAAGCTTATCAGCAGCCATAAATTCACTAATTATTTTTAATTTTTCATCAGGCTCATTAAGTTTATCAAATTTATCAAACTCGTCGGATTCATAAAATTTATCAGACTCGTCCGGGTCTGGTTGATTTATAAAATTATACCATTCGGAAAAATTATTATAAAGTATTTCAGCAGTAGGTCGTTTATGTAAATCCGAATTCATACACAAATTTGCCAATTCAATATAACAGTTAGGTGTCTCTGGATCAAAGTTAGGTCTCTTTCCACCACAAATTTCTAGAGCAAGTTCAATATCAAATGCGCATCCATAAAATGGAGGGATTCCAGTGGTCAGCTCTGCCATAATAACACCAAAACTATATATATCAGCTGCTGATGTATATTCTTGACCCAATAAAACTTCAGGTGCAACGTAAGGCATAACTCCATAAATTCCTCTTTCTAATGTGTGCTCTTCATTTTTTCGAGATAATCCTAAATCTGCAATATAGGACTTTAATGAACTAAGCAACGATTCTCTATGTTGTAAAATATTTCCGCAATGAAGGTCACAATGAATGTATCCTGCTTTGTGAACTTGAATTAAATCCTTTGAAACATCGATTAATAGTGATAATTTCTCTTCCCATAAAAGTTCTTCAAAATTTAATTTTAGATAATTACGAAGGTCTCCGTTATTAGCATATTGAAATACCATCAAATATTCTTTAGTTTTCGCATTTTGAGTTAGTCCATATATTGCAAGCCTACTGCCACTTAATCTACAATGCATATGACTTTTAAACTAATTAAATTAATATTTAAGTAAATTAGTAATACGTACACGCCATAGACAAATATTGAATTATAGTTTAAACCTACTTCTCTTAAAAAATCATTAGAATCTTTTTTTGATCCAGGTAAAGTTTTGAGCGCAACCTTGAGAGATTGTGAATGTATATCTTCATTTTCACTTGAAATATTTTGTTGCCAATCAGCTAAAAATACAGTACCAAATCCTCCTTTGCCAATCTCCCTTATGTTATTCAATTTATCAAAGGGAATCCATTTAATCATATCATATTTTGTAGCTTTAAGTTGAAATTTTTTAATACAATAATCAATATCTTTATTACCGCTTGTCCACTCCTGAGTTATTCTATAAGGATCACATGATTGACACCAGTTTACTGCAGTGTTAAATCGATTACAATTTGTACATTTACCGCAGTAATAATGTCTTTTAGAAGCAAACGCATCATATTCGTTATTAATTATACTTTCGAATACTATCATATATTCACCTGTAGCCGCAAATTGTGTTACGCCATATATTTTAATTGTATTATATCCTAATTGCATTTGATTTTTAAACTTGCAAAATATAAAAAAAGTCAGATTATATATCAAGATTAATAGAAATAATTAATAATATAAAGGAAAAAAATTCTACTTACTTCTATTAAAAAACCATGAGAGCTATTCAATGTTTTAAGTTTTATTTTACATGGTTGTGTACGTGACTGGCTGTATTTCTCTTTGTATTTAGAAATTATTCGTATTCCATCTAACCAGGTTGCTAAAAATTCATCACCATTCTTTTGAATATTATCTAATCTATTAAAAGGAATCCATTCGACTACGTTCTCATATTCTGTGGCTTTAAGTTGAAATTCTTGAATGCAATCATCAATATTCTTATTTCCACTTGTCCATCCTTGAGCTGTTTTCTGAGGGTTACATGTTTGACACCAAGCTTTAGAAGTGTTATATCGGTTACAAACTTCACATTTACCATTCCACTTACTCCTTATAGAACCAAATTCATCAAATATCAACATATACTCATTAGTAATCGTACTTTGAGTTAGTCCATATACTTTAAATTTACTATCCATTATGTAGTTTTCAAACTTATTAAATATACAAAAAATATAAATTAAAATATATAAAATAAAGATACATATAATAATCAAATAAACGAAATTATCTTACCTCTATTAACAAATCCGTCAAATTTTGTGAATTAACAAATATTTTAAGCTCCACTATGCATGATGGTATACGTGACTGTGTGTATTTCTCCATACCATCCACATCTAAAGCTACTCGTATTCCATCTAACCAAGTTGCTAATAATTTATCACCATTTTTTTTAATATTATTTAATCTATTAAAAGAAATCCACTCTATTACATTCTCATATTCTGTAGCTTTAAGTTGAATTTCTTTAATGTAATCATCAGTATTCTTATTTCCACTTGTCCATCCTTGAGCCGTTCTCTGAGGGTCACATGTCTGACACCAAGCTGGTGATGTGTTATATCGGGTACAAAACATGCATTTTCCTTTCTGTTCATCTCTCTTAGAACTAAAAGTATCTAGTATCAACATGTATTCATTAGTAGTTATGTTTTGAGTTAGTCCATATACTTTAATATTATTATCCTTTATATAATTTTTAAACTTATTAAAATCATAGAAAAAAAATAATTTATAAATATATAAAAATAAAGATTCTTATAATAATAAATAAAGAATTTATCTTACTTCTATTAATAGATCTGTCAAACTTTGAGAACTAGGCAATATTTTAAGTTCCACTATGCAGGATGGTGTACGTGACTGCTCGAATATATTCCAATAGCTAGAAGTTATTCGTATGCCATCTAACCAGGTTGCTAATAATTCATCACCATCATTTTGAATATTATCTAATCTTTTAAAAGGAATCCACTCTATTACATTCTCATATTCTGTAGATTTAAGTTGAAATTCTTTAATACAATCATCAATATTCTTATTTCCACTTGTCCATCCTTGAATTGTTTTCTGAGGGTCACACGTCTGACACCAGGCTGGCGATGTATTATATCGGTTACAAAATGCACAATTTCCATTCTTCTTACTTCTTAAAGAATCAAATTCATCAAATATCAACATATACTCATTAGTGGTTGTATTTTGAGTTAATCCATATACTTTAAAATTACTATCCCGTATATAGTATTTAAACTTGTTAAATAGTTAAAAAAAATATAATTTATAACTTAAGCATATAAAGAAATAATATAATAATAAGTAAGAGTTTTCTTACCTCTATTAATAAATCCGAACTTTGAAAACTAGACAATATTTTTAGATTCACTATGCACGGAGTACGTGACTGTGTATATTTTTTCTTTCCACCTACATATAAAGCTACTCTAATGCCATCTAACCAGGTTGCTAATAATCTATCACCATGCTTTTGAATATTATCTAATCTATTAAAAGGAATCCACTCTATGACGTTTTCATATTTTGTAACTTTAAGTTGAAATTCTTTAATGCAATCATCAATATTCTTATTTCCACTTGTCCATCCTTGAATTATTTTCTGAGGGTCACATGTCTGACACCAGGCTGGCGATGTATTATATCGGTTACAAAATGCACATTTTCCATTCTTCTTACTTCTCATAGAATCAAATTCATCAAAAATCAATATGTACTCATTAGTGTGTGTATTCTGAGTTAGTCCATATACTTTTAATTTATCATCATTTATATAAATTTTAAACTTGTTAAAAAGGCAAAAAATATATAAATTTAAATATATAAAATAAAGGTATGTATGATAATTAAATAAAGAATTTATCATACTTCTCTTAACAAATCCGTAGAACTTTGAAATATTTTAAGATCCATTTTACATGATGGTGTACGTGACTGTGTGTATTCATTCTTTTCATCTACATATAAAGCTATTCGTATGCCATCTAACCAGGTTGCTAATAATCTATCACCATGCTTTTGAATATTATCCAATCTATTATAAGGAATCCACTCTATTACATTCTCATATTCTGTAGCTTTAAGTTGAATTTCTTTAATGTAATCATCAATATTCTTATTTCCACTTGTCCATCCTTGAGCTGTTCTCTGAGGGTCACATGTCTGGCACCAAACTGGTGATGTGTTATATCGGGTACAAAACATGCATTTTCCATTCTGTTCATCTCTCTTAGAACTAAAAGTATCTAGTATCAACATGTATTCATTAGTAGTTATGTTTTGAGTTAGTCCATATACTTTAATTTTATTATCCTTTACATAGTTTTTAAACTTATTAAATCAGAAAAAAATAATTTATAAGTATATAAAATAAAGATAGTTATAAAAATAAATCAAAGAATTTATCTTACCTCTATTAATAAATCTGTCAGACTTTGGGAACTAGGCAATATTTTAAGTTCCACTATGCAGGATGGTGTACGTGACTGCTTGAATATATACTTAGATAGTTGCTTGTCTTTGCGATGTAGCGTGTGGATTATTTTACGTGATAATTTTGTTAAGATTAATTGATTTTCTTTAGAAATTATTCGTATGCCGTCTAACCAGGTTGCTAATAATTCATCACCATTATTTTGAATATTATCAAAAGGAATCCACTCTATTACATTATCATATGCTGTAGCTTTAAATTGAAATTCTTTAATACAATTATCAATATTCTTATTTCCACTTGTCCATCCTTGAATTGTTCTCTGAGGTTCACATGTCTGACACCAGGCTGGCGATGTATTATATCGCTTACAAACTGCACATTTTCCATTCTTCTTACTTCTCATAAACCCAAATTCATCAGATATTAACATGTACTCATTAGTGATTGTATTTTGAGTCAAACCATATACTTTATTATTCTTAATATAATTTTTAAAAGATTTATAAGTATATAAAATAAATTTTATAATAATAAAATAAATAGATATAAAATAAATTTTATAATATTAGAAAATTTATCTTACTTTTTTTAACAAATTCATCGAATTTTGATAATTAGGCAATATTGTCAACCACACTATGCATGATGGCGTACGTGATTGTCTGTATTTCTCCTCTCCACCTATATATAAAGCCTTTCGTACTCCATCTAACCAGATTGCTAAAAATCCATTACCATTCTTTTGAATCTCCTCTAAACTATTAAAAGGAATCCATTCTATTACATTCTCATATTCTGTAGATTTAAGTTGAATTTCTTTAATATAATCATCAACTTCATTATTTCCGCTTGTCCATACTTGAGCTGTTCTCTGAGGGTCACATGTCTGGCACCAAGCCGGCGATGTGTTAGATAGGTTACAATATGTACATTTTCCATACTTATCATATCTTTTATTTGTTTTAAAAATATTCATAAATATGTATGTAATTTTAATGTATTGCAAAGTGGAGGTCAGCTAAAGCTAAATACAATCCAAATTCTTTAATTATCGCTAGGATTAGGGCCACTTTACATTAGGGTTGAGTCAGATATTATTATTATTTTTTTTTTTACGCACTTTAATTTAAATTGTGCACCGTAATACGCATTAATTTGTACCTTAGCCTTTTTTGGTACGCATTCAGTCGTATTTGAATTAGCGTTAGGGTTCTGCAAATGCCCATGCCAGGAATATTGGACATGATGTCAGGCACTAGTGCCCATGAAATGCCTGTACCCATAGGCATTGTTACTATTGTAAATTGGGAGAGCGAGTAACAGTGCACGGTGTAAAGGGGGAAATTACCACCTCGGGTAATACTGCGGCTCTAGACGTAGTACGAATTCTGAAAATTCTGAAA